ATGGAACATAATAAAAGTAACAACACCCCTGGTTTACAATAACAACAAGAGGAAATTCAGATCATAATGAATATAATAGCTATTGTGGAGCTGCAGCAGAAAGACCTGGTGATTGCTCCCACAAAGGTGACAGTACAGAAAACCCTACTTTGTCACATGGGGTCACTGGGAGTAGGAAGTTGACTGAACAGTACCCAACAACAGTGCTTGTTGGTCCATGAAAAAGGGAGAAGGTCTCACTGACACTGAAATGGCAACAGTAGGGCCATCAGTGGACTCAGCCATACCATGGCCATGAAGATGATAGAAGACCAGGTCAGGTTTTCTTCTGCTGTACATGGGGTCCTTGTGAGAACGAGCCGACTGGGTGGCACATAATACCAGGATTTAATGATGACCTCTTTGGGCCCAGCATTGAGTTATGTGTTTTAGTGACATCATGTGTAATCCTTGAAATAACCCTTTGATGCTGGAGATGGTGTTTCCATTCTATTGGCCAGGCAGCTGGACTTCGGTTCTGAAAAGAAAGAAATCATTCGCTGGTCATTCAGTAAGATTCTATCTCAGTTTCATGAATCACCACCCATTCTCACTTGAAAATCAAACCGGAAAAGACAAAGCTCAGTAACTGTGTTCAGTCATTCCTGTTCTCTTGTTCTAAAGATGTAGCGAAGCTGCTGTATTTCAGTCCTCACCCTTAGCTTGATACATGAACCCTAACCAAGAATAACTGTCTTTAAAATAATCTTTTGGGGGGTATCCCCAGGATCTAAAAGAGGCTGGATTCAAAGTAAAACATGTCAAAAGAGGGAAATGGAGCTTGTTCATTTGCATGGGCTCATTAGAGAAAAATAATCCTAAATTTCTGTTGTTCTCCAGTGTCTGCCACCCCTCATACGTGAGTCTTTCTCACTGTCAAAATCAGAAATCCTTTGTTTAATGTGTGATTGAGAATGAAAGACTGAGAGAGTGTTTGTCAATAGATCTAAGTCTTAAAATTTAGTCTCAGGAGCCTGATGAATCAGAGAAAGCGCCTGAGAAACGAAGTTCTGAGGTGGAATGAGGGAGAGAAGATAGCTCTGTGGAGCTAAACTCAAGAGACACTTTTCCACCTGCGTTTGATACCATGTACACGCGTGTTCATGGGCACTGGAACATTTCTTTCTCATCAGCTCCCTCTGAGAAATACAAGGATTTCCTGAGAGAAAATGTTGTGTGACTAAGTGCCACAGAGTCAGTTATGACTTATAGGGACCCCGTATAGGGTTTCCAAGGTGCGGCTGGTGGGTTTGAACAGCTGATGCTACAGTTAGAAGTCTCATGCTTCTCCTACAGTGATGACATTGTCTAGGTTGATTGTCTTTTAAAAATTGCTCCCAGATTTTGCAGTTGAGTTTGAAACCTTTTCAAACAGGTTTTTGAGAAAGAGAAAGATTAAAGTACTTTAATAACATTGAGTCCAAATATAATCTTTTCTTGTCCTTTACTTGCAATTTTTCACAACAGTTACTTCTAATGGAAATGTGTTGTAAGTTCTCCCCACCCCTAGGGTCAGATTACAACTAAAGCAATAACAGTTGTAGTTTCCAATATTATTTTTAAAGAGTATGAGAAAAATTCGTATCCTTGATTTTTTTGTGCATTTGAGGAATACAGCAGTTTTGCAGGTAGAAAGTCACTAAGTCAGGGGATCTTGTTTCCAGCGGTCACTTCAGGCTGTCTTGCAGTTCTATCCTTCGTCTCCTTTGTCTTACTTCAGCAAAGTCTGAATGTAGCCAATTCCCAACTTTGAAATGTAATTGTGTTGAGTTTGACTCATTGCCTTAAATGGAATGCTACAGCTGATTTTGTTGTGTTAACTTGCCATAAGCGTGCCTTGTCATAGTGGTATTTGTCCTCATTGGATGTGATGTGTTGGTTTTGATTTGAAAAGGTTGTCAACAACTAAAACTGTTATAAGTAATGGGTTTGAATTTCTCGCATGGTTCCTTAAGTAAAAACATTGCTGGCATCCTCTTGAATGTTGCCACAGGAGACTTCCAATGTAACTTCGGTCTTTTACAGCTAGACATCAACTTGACATCGGCCGCGTGGTTAGAAACAACCTTTGGCCTAATTCTAGTGATGGGCTTCAGAAGAAGCTCAGGTGCTAGTCTTTGCTAAGCGTGTCAGCTATGACCTGGTTCTAACAGATGCTCAGAGAACATGTTGTTGATGTCACTGTTAAGTACCATTGTGTTGGTTCTGATTCATTGTTTTCCAAGAAGCAGCTGGTGGGTTTGAACCACTGACCTGACCTGCAGTTAACAGTCCAGTGCTTATCCTATAGCACCACACCAAGATTCCCAGAGAACATGTAGAGTGGCTCAATCCTAACCAAGCTACACCAGTATTTCTGTCTTCTCCTTTGGTTTTTGTGTGGGGAGTTTTGTTGTTGGTGGTTTGTTTTTTAAATCACAGCCCATGATAGAAATTTAAACCACAGAAGGAAACTGTATGCATCTAGCAAACATGTAAAGTACTTAAAAAATAACTTTTTTTTTTTTAATCCCATGAAGAAACCAAGTTTTCATTTTACTGTGAACCACTTTGGTTTGTTTTCATACAAGAGTTGAATGTTGTGTTTTCTCACAGCTGATGATATACACAGACACAAGAGTCAAACCTTGTGAATACAATTCCTGCCTTATTGGGCAACTGCATGTTAAAGTGGGTTTTGTTTGTTTGTTTGTTTTCCTTGTCTAAGAGGATGAAACCTCTCCTTTTAGGCAGGGCCCTGTATCTTCTTAGAGAGAGCTTTGAATTCTCGCGAGGATAGATGCTGGAGAGTATTGCAATATAGAATGCTACTCGTATTTATTGTTGTTAAGTACAATCGAGTCAGTTCCAATTCATAGGGTTCCATTTTAGGGTTTCCAGGGAATGGCTAAGGAGCTCTGGTAGTGTAACAGTCACGAATTGGCCTGCGAACCTCAAAGTCAGCAGTTCGAAACTACCAACTGTTCCGCAGGAGAAAGATGCTTTCTGCTCCCGTAAAGATTTACAGCCTCAGAAACCCTGTACAGGGTCACTGTGAGTCAGAACTGACTCCACAGCACATAACCACTACCTCCAAGGAATGGCTGGTGAGCTTAAACTGTCAACCTTCCTATTCAAACTGACCTTGCCGTCTAGCACATTAACCCACAGTGCTGCACCAGGACCTGTATTTATATTCCACATAAAAGCAAATAATGATGCAGCAATTCTACTCACTGGACCACAAAATTCCAGTGTCTTGGATAATAAGGCCTTATTGCTTTTGTTTAAATGCAAAGATCGTCACTTTGTGAGCTTTTCTTTTTCAAGCAGAAGGCACGGTGCCTAATCTAAACTAGTGCCAGGAGATTTCTTTACCTACAGAAAGGCATTTTGGTTGGTTTCCATTGAGAATTACTCCCATTTTCTTTTAATCTGAGATAGAAAGTGTAAATAGAATCTGAATATATTCTAGAATAGAGTGCTGTGTTTGTCATTTTTCATTGGGCTTCTTAATGCCCACCAGCCACCTCCGGTAACGTGCAGCTCACTGCAGACATGAAATCATTGTTTGTTGACTGTTAAACTAATTGGTTTGAATACCTTTTAAAGGCCTTTGCTCGATTCCATGTAGAAATTGTAGATTACTTATCTCAACCGATTGGATTTTTAAATTATTTAAACTTTGCACTGCTAGGATATGACGTTTTGCAGCTCTTTCTAAGGAGCAGACATCTCCTCTTACCCTAGACATTATAGATTTAATTTGTTTGGGGTACACATACCATGTATCTAGCATGTAAAA